GCGCACCCCTCCCGCCGATCTGAACTCCCGGGAAAACTGTTGATCTCCTCCAAGGGAGAGGCTCAACCTTTGCCTCCAGGGCTCATGGCTCCCTCCCTCCCTCCTATTTCTCCCAGGTTCGACCCCGCGTTGCGCTTCCAGAGACCCCCAGGTCCCCCCGTCCGCTGCGGGGCCGGCGGAGGGGGACGTGCCCTCACTTTTTAGCCAGTCGGACCAGGACGGGCTCTATTATTATTTTTTTATTCTTGCAGTTGTTGTTATATTCAATTTAAAGGTACCCCTTTATAACTTGCATAGCTCCTGTAAATTTACCTGAAACCTGCCGTCTTTCCTGGCCAATGGTGTCAGGGGCCGGCTAGGCTGTCCCTCCGGAGCATTAACCCTTGTCGCTAGCTGGAGCGAGTGAGAAGCTGAGGTTTGGCCCTGAGGAGCCGTGTGCGTAGATCTTGCACAGCTTTGCTCCCTTAACTCCTGGATCTTTGTTTTGGTGCGAGCAGGGAGCGCTGTGCTTGCATTCCCCGCTGGCTTTTGCGCGCACACACGCACACACACACAAATCCCCCTTTCCAACTTTCTGCCTTTTGCGCTTCCCTGCCAGTTTTTTTCACTTCTCAGACCTACTGGCAGCATTTGCCGAGCTCTAGATCCCCGCCGTGGTAAGTGATGCTTTTCTCCATTGCAAAACTCGCTCAGCTCTCGGCTCGCTGTCCCCGGGACGGGTGTAGGAGTTGTATTTGTTTGGAACAGAATTGCCCAACCCCAGTGGTTTCACGTCAAGCAGCACAGAGTAAAACTATTGTCGAGTATTAACTCTGAATGGGAGCAAACAGACCAAATAATCATTGCTGGCTCAGACAGCAGCACGGCACTAGTGTCAGTCTTTTTAAGTTTGCAAAGCAACTTTTTTTTTTTTTCTTTTTTGGTTATGGGGAGAGCGAGCCTGTGCTTTGGGTCTGATCTTTATATTTACACCACACACCAGACCATAACAAACTATACAAAGAATGCAGCTCCCATATGTGCTTTGTGAACATACAGTTATGATTGGGGGGTTCATGCCTTCAGCCGAAGTGTCGCAGACACACTGCTACCACCCCGCAAGGTTCGAGCCATACCTGAAACCTCACTCCGTGTTCGGGGGGAGGGGTTGGAAAGACGTTGCATTTAAAAAAAAACTCTATATAAAAAAAAAAAAAAAAACACTACAGTAAATGCCTCCTGGACATTTATTTTTAATGTACAGTCTGCAGCTCTGACTGGATCAAATTCACGATTATTCAGATGAGGCTGGATTTGAATAACTTGCTGGTTTCTCTCCCCCGCCCTCCCCCATCACCCTCCCCCTCCTTTTTGTTGTTGTTGTTGTTGTTTTTGTTCTAAAAATTAAGAAAATGAAGAGAAGCGCCGAGTCCGGCTGACCTTTGGCTGACATAATTTAGCAGCAGACCGTTCGCAAATGAGGACGGGGTAAACGAGGCGCTCCAGTTCTCCGGGTAAAGC